AATAAAATCCACATAAAAACTTGATGAATGCTCCAACTTTGATAAGTTTAAAAAACTGAAAACAATGACCAAGTAATCATGGCAAACTCCATGGCCCAAATGAAATACTACATCCATTATTAAAGTAAAAGGCAGCTTTGTGTGCCAACTGTCCCAATGATTCATTTCCTGTGTTTGGGGCGCAGCCAGACGCTAAGTTACCATAAAACCATAATGCAGCAAGGACACAGCTAACCTCAAAAGAAAAAGAAGAGCAAGTCTTTCTTTCAGCATTTAGCCCCTTTTTATGGGGTATGCGTATCTTTACGTGGTGCCGCCTATTTTGTTGACGTGGGCGCAGCAGCCTTTGACAGAAGCCATTCTGGGTTTAAAGCATGGGCTGTACGCCTGAGCTGTGCCCTGAATCAATGCAGTCGCTTTCCTAACAGGCTTCAATATGTAACCATGGTGAAGGGGAATACGTCGTCATAGCAGAGCACCCTGAGAGCCAGCCGAGACGCAGTGGAGCATGAAAGCTAAGCAGTCGAGCGTGTTTCCTACCTGCATTATAATGCTACGGGAGATATCATGTGTGAAAGGCTATTTGGGAAGCTCCTCGCCTGCTGGCTTCCATTGCTGTCATAACTCTCTGTGGTGAATACTCTTCACGGCAGAATTACATTAGGCCGCATACGTCCAGTGCCGGCCTTTTATATGAATGCATTTCTCCCTACAACTACTAAAATCATTTACATTTGCATTGCCCTGCTACTGCATTGCCCTGCATTGCATACCCGTACAATATAGCACCCTGCTACAGGAACAGTAAAGACATTGTTTTTACTTGAAAAAAAAAAATTATAATAAAATTTCAGTTAGTTGCTAAAGAAACATTTTTCATTTTCATTTAGTTTAATTAATGTACTTAATTAAAAATAAAACTGGAATAAAAATTACTAAAAAAAAAAACTATATAAAATAATATAAATATAAATAAAAAATATAAATATAAAAACAGCCCCCACTTTAGATTAGGTGTCTTTAATTACTATAAAATAAAATAAAATAAAATAAAATAAAATTGGCTGGGTTGGCTAGGTTTAAGTGTTGGTTAAGTTACAGGTAGAGATGGCAGTGTAATTGCAGATGTAATTACAGAAAGGTATTTTTAAATATAAGTACAATGTAAAACATGTATGTATACAGTAAGTGCATTGTATTAAAGTATTAATTTAAATCAACTTAAATGTAAGTACATAGTAGTTAAAGACACTTAATATAAAGTGGGTCCATACAACTAATTTAACCTATTAATAAAACTAGGGTAACACTTTATTTTACTGTGTCATTGTTACACATGTTACATGTACTTACTATTAAATAATACCAATAAATTATGCATAATTACATGCAAGTAACCATAAGCCAAACCCTAATCCTTACCAAAACCATATATTAAGTACATAGTTAATTAATATTACTCAGTACTGAAATGTATAAATACACTGTAACAAGGACACCTTAAAATAAAGTGTAACCAAAACTAGTATCTAAATAATACTGAAATAACACTGATCAGATCAATAATAATAATAATAATAATTGTTTGTACATTTACCGTGTTATGATATTCTCGGAAGTACCATATAAAAACAATATTAGATGAATTTCAGTAGTACAGTAATACTAAATTAAACTAACAAAGTACTTTAGAGTTACATGTACCTTTTTGTGTGATGTTCTTGGAACTACCATATAAAATATATACATTTACCATTTAAAACCACAGTTTAGGACATGTTACCATGTATTACACATTATGTATTCTTGAAAGTACCTTGGAGTACTACGAAAACACTATGGTATATGAATTCCAGTACTAGGTAGAATAGTATCATCCATTAATAAACTGATGAAAAGGGACAGACATTTAAAAAAAAATGTCTAAAAAGTTATTTTGAACTTTGTATGCATCAAATAATCTTTAAAAAAAATCCCAAAAATATTAAGCAGAACAACTGTTTTTAACACTCATAATAAAATAACTGTTTCCTGAGCACCAGATCAGCCTTTAATTTCTGAAGGATCATGTGACACTGAACACTGGAGTTATGATGCTGAAAATTCAGCTTTGCATCACAGGAATAAATTACATTTTGAAATATATTAAAACTGAAAACAGTTATTTTACATTGTAATAATATTACTCCCAAATTAGTGTAATACCATGGTTTACAGTATATGAAAGTACCTCTTTTTTATTTCACTGTAACATGCTGCTACCACAGTAAGCTTTGTAAGACTACAGGAAAGGAAGCAGCAAACTGCATCATGCACTGGATGCCTAATGGTAAGCAGTATTCTGAAAGGGTATTCAGAATGTGCAGCATTATATGTATATGTGTAAAGAGCAGTAAAGCAAAGTCAGCAGTCATTCTCTGTTATCTGAAAGAAAAAACACTGCACTGAATTTTGAGTGCTTCTCATGTTCAATTGCATTATAACAATCAGCAGAAGAGGATGAGTCTTTCTATCTGCCATTAATATCTCTCTATGTGCTCCTGCAATTCTGCACTTTATAAGCTATAGAAAGGTCGCAATCATACTCAGCAAACATGCATTTCCCTTTCAGAAATAACATTATAGAATCTGGGCATACTGGAAGTATTTTTGGTAACACTTTATTTTAATGTGTCCTTGTTACATGCTACATGTATTTACTATAATAACAGTAAATTATGCACAATTATAAAGGAACTACCGTAACAATACACCAAACCAAATGTACTCCCCTTTTAGGACATCCCAGATGATTTTGTTTGTTTATCAGAACAGATTTAGAGAAATTTAGCATTACATCACTTGCTCACCAGTAGATCATCTGCAGTGAATGGGTGCCGTCAGAATGAGAGTCTAAACAGCTCCAGTTCAACAATTAATGTCGTGTGAAGCAAAAAGCTCCTCTATCTATAATATTGCTTTCTCCAGTGAAAAAGTCATTTAATCTGAATCAGGTGAGAAAAATGCCCAGATTAAACACGGCTTGGTAAAAAAAATAAAAAATAGGTTACAAAAGTTTTGTAGTAAAATACTACTGATCATTAAAAAAGTTCCATCTGCCAGTATGATGCCATTCATACATACATAAACATTTTGTTACCTTAAAGGGATAGTTCACCTTCAGTTGCTGGTCCCCATTGACTTCCATTGTATATAAAAACACTGTGTCAAGTCAATGGGGACCAAGTGAAGGTGAACTATCCCTTTAACTGTTTGATCAAGAGGTAGTTATAGTTCCCTTTCGAAAGGGAACTCTACACTGCGTCCTCTAGAGGGCGCTAGGGGAACGCTGTCAGCGTGTCCGGTGTCTGAAGCATGAATGAAAAAACGACAATGAACGCACCACAGATCTGGCTCTCAGGGCCACCAAACAGACAGCTGCCGTGATCGGTAGGTCAATGGCGGCAATGGTGGCCACGGAGAGACACCTGTGGGTGAACCTGGCGGTCATCGGGGAGAAAGAGAGACGTTTTCTTCTCGATACGCCAATTTCGCCCTCTGAATTGTTCGGCACATCCGTTGAGACGGTGGTCGGTAAATTTAGGGAGGCAAAGGCGCGCTCAGCAGCGTATAAGTCCTTTATACCGCGCCGGTCTATGTCTGCGCCCAAGCACAAGGGGGGACCTGGCCCATCCTGGTCCGCGGGTCAGAGACAGGACCAGGTGGCTAGTGTGGCTACTTGCGGTCCTCCTCCCAGGAGGAGTAGGTCGCAGAGGAGACGTGAGTTCAGGAATAGGAGAAGGGACCTAAGGGGAGAGTTCCGGCGTGGACGCTGTCAGCAAAAAGCGTCTGGAGCTGGTACTAGTACCTAACTTCAGCCCTCCTTCTCTCCTCACGGTGCTGTTTGAGCATAAAAAA